AACACTGGAGTGTATTCCATCCTAATAATGATGGTTTGTCTGAAAATTAAGAAAAACCATGGGAGACCAACCAAATAACCAACAATCTGCTGGTCAAAAAAACTTTCTCCTCAACATGAAGTTCGCATTCCCCGTCGCAGCCGTTTTGGCTTCAAAAATTCGCTTGGGGGACCAATTGTTTGGAACTGGTTCTCAAGTCTCCTGTGACCCAACTTGCCAAGTCGCCCATCCCTCAATCCTAGGTCCCAGGTGATCCACATGATGTAAAACTAGTGGCTGAGGAAACATGTTAGACTTTGTGGAAACAAGATCCAACAGATCCAACAGATTTTCAAGCATCCTATACACGGCCGGTCCCTTGACTGGTAAATCATGCCTGGTAAGGTGAATTTGAGTGATCTTGAAAGATGACAGTGGTCATGACAATAGCTCTGGTTGGTGGTTTGGAACATTCTTTATTTTTCCCATCATATTGGGAATAATTGTATAGTAACCCCAACTAACTATATAATATTTCAGAGGGGTAGGTATACCACCAACCAGATTATAAAACCCACATCTTTTTCAGTCCAACCTCCCAAAATCTGTTGAGTTGTGCTCAGGTTTTGCCCCGTGTGTTTCCATGATTTTTGCCCGTAACAGTTCTAAACATGGAAAAACATAGCAGCATCTGGTGGTTTCAACATGTTTCAACTAGAGTTCTCATTTTCAAGAGTAGAAATGAGAATTCATGGTCCCCAAGGACTGAAACCATCAGAATTCCTACAGCTCACGGACGCCCTGTCCTCCTGTCATGGTGGCAGCTCCGGTTTTCCATGACTCCATGACGGAGGACAATCGGTGGCGGTGCTCCCTGAATTTTCGTCGCAGCTGGGTTCTTGATTTTTTGGATGTGTACAGTTTACATAACTATGGGAAATCACCATTTTTCATGGGAAAACTCACTATTTCTATGGCCATACCCAGAAAACATCCCATGAACATGGGGCAAAATGAGGAAACCCATGGAAGCAACCAGGAGGAAATCAGATCTGGCAGCCGAGTAGGGCCACTGGCCTTCTCAGGAGTGGCTGGCTTGGGATCCCATGGTAAGCTACAAAAAGATGTGGAATTGTATGAAATGTCTAGGAAAATGATGGCAAGTTCCAGCTTCGAATGGAAAAACCTATGGGATTATCATTCTGTAAATGGCAGGTTTTTCAATATCCATGTCAGTCTACGGGAGGGTAGTGGACTGTGAGCTTGTGTGATTGGTCGTACTTTGTGATATTTTATACGCCAAAGCGTTTGGTGATTTCAAACCAGCACCAACCATGGGTAACCAACAGGTACCAACACACCTTTAAGCGAGAATTGATCAAGAATCTTTGGAAGATCAGGGATGATGATCTGAGTACACCTTGGCTGCGGAGGTGCATGGTTCATCTAAAAAGCTACAAGTGGTGGTATACATCATCCGTTTCTGGGCCATCGATTCCAGCAGGAGACAACAGATAGAAGGATACCCTCTGGTTATTTACCATAGACCCTGACAATACCCAAGTTTTAGTGGAAACTATTCATACTACTCTTCCAACCCCCTGCAACTGGCAGGTCGGAGGCATGTTTGTGCCATATCGGTGCCCCTGTTTTGCAACCGCCAGGCGATTATGTGCAGATGGGGGAGGTGATTGGCACTGGCGCCCAGGGGCAGGTCGGGTGGGCGCTGGGTCGGTTTTTGTGAATCATGGTGAATCAAGAATGGCTGAATTGACAAAGTCATGGGGATGTTTAGCAGCATGGCAAACATCTAAGACTCTGACCCATTTTAACCAAGAGCACAGTTGTGAGGAGATTCACCAGCAGAAATCAGATGATGTTCATGAACAAATGCGGATGTAAGGGAGCGAGAATGTGGACAATTTATATAATGAACATCGGACGTCAGCTGTGCTGAGTAGTTTTTTTGGCCCCTGGAACTCGGAAAAAGTAGCCTACCATCCAGCCCACTTACCATAAATTCCAATTGCTAAGCTTAGGGATCATGAAAGAGCGGATATTCTATCCACCTCAGTTAATTTTGCACTTCAATCTTGTACCAGATGTACTCGTACGATGCAGAAAAGTTGGAAATCTGGAAAATATGGGGAACACATCATTGAACTACCATCCGGGTTTCGCACATCTATCGGGATCTTTTTGGGGGTTGCTATGATGGGGTCGCCCATCGAAGAAAATTGCCCCATGGGTGACCCGAATTCCCTGGACCGAACACAAGCGAGTCAGATCCTTGATGGGATCATAGCATGGGCAATGTTCTTTTTGTTTCCGATTCTTCTATTCCCGTCATTGCTTGATATTAATTAATAGATATTAAATGATATTAATAGCATTTTATAAATGGCTGTAAATCTACACCTGTCATCGGGTCCCCTCGCAAAATGTATATCATGTCATTCTCCTGATCACTGGTTAGATCCCATCACAATGTATTTTTCATTGGTTACCCAGCAGTAAATGATGTTTTCCTTCACGTTTGGAAACCTAGATCATATTCCTTGGGAAACCATGATTTTTCCATATCGACTTCCAGTTTCATTACACAACCCACTATTGAACCTAGTATGATTCCAATCAACCCACACCTCATGTATATTCCCCATTCAATCCTTACTGAAAGGGAATCCTACCCCCATGAAATCCGCATCAATCAACCCATTATCCCCATTAAATCCTAGATCTCCATTGTTGGTTGGTTAATTCCCCAGCTTGTGTATTATCCTGGATATCCCGGAAAAAAAGCATGATTCGTTGGATAAATCCCCATTGTTGATGTTTAAAGTTAAATCAGTAATTATTTTTGATGGTGAACTTCCCCTAAATCCCTACTTTGAAGTTCAGTTCCAGCTACAAGTGGATATATGTATATATATATATATGTATACAAGGTGGTACCCCCTAGTTATAAGTTGGTTTGTAAACCCCATTAACTACAGATTCCAGATACATCACCTATAAACCATAGTTATTGGAGTTATAAACCAACTTAGCTATCTTGGGGGCACAACCTTATATATATATGTATATTATAACTAATCATAACCCAAACATACCCGAACCACAAGTGGTTATACCCCCAACTTATGGGGCTTATCACCCACAAGTCGGGATCATCATCCTAAATACTGTATGGTTGAACATGAACAGTCTTGTTGAAAACCACCAGCCAAATATGTATATAGGGTGTGTATATTTATATAGTATATATAAGTATACATATATATATATATAGTATACATACATATATATATATAATGTATTTATACTATTTACACATAGACATAACATATTATATATACAACTAATATAAGCTTGCGACGCTTCCTCTCGCCCCCGTTGAAAGATAAGACGCCCATGCCAGGTGTTCGCCTGCCACATGATGCAAGTGCCCAGCAAAGCGTTGGCAGCCAAGGCCCTATAAACAGGGAGATGACGTGGCAAACATAGGGATTTCAGCATCAAATCTGGGGAATATTGGCATTGAATTGATATTTATTGATATTTAAGACATGATCGGTTTCAACAACTCCAAATTGTATCCATCAAAACCAAGGATTTCGAAAAAAACACTTGGTAACTTTTTTTTTCGGGTGTGTCTGAAAATAGGAGTACCAATAAAAAATGGTAGCTTTAGTGGGGAATAGTGATGACATGGTGATTAAACATCGAATTTGGAGTACCTTCTTTTGAGACAAAGCCCACTGTGAAGTGAACTAGCCAGTCAGCAATGAACACATCTTCTGGAAAATTTAGTGCCAATATCATTGAATTCATATTTTTATATGTTTTTAATATTATATGTACATATATTTCGAAATATGAACACACATATTTTCCTAATTTGTGCCATTTCGACCAGGGGGAAACCCCGTTCGTCCCCGCAGGTGGTGGACAGTCAGCGCTTGCTTCTGACTGCAGAGAACCCCGAAGAGGTGGCAAAAAAGCTCGAATCCGAGGTGCGTTTTGTGGTGTTTTTTTGGGTGTCTTTCGAACATCCGTGGGAAAATGATGGGAACTATGGGAACATCTGGGATTTTCCTTGGACAGTTGTATATTTTTACATGATTTGGGATTTTTTCTGTATAGTTTTTGGGGAATGGAAAACATCGAATCAGCAATTGACTCCTTACAATTCTGGAAATGAGGCCGCGAAGATGGGCGAAGACCTTGACCAAATAGCCTGATAACATCTGATAACCTAGTGTGGGTAAAACAATGTCATAAACCATCCCCCAGTCATCACCATAAATAGGTGCTATGGTTACCATTCCCAGTCATGGGTGGTAAAAATGGCATTGTTTTACCCACATTGGTTGGTTTATGTTGGTTTGAAATTTTACGAAGGTTCGATCGCTGGATGGGTTCCGTTTCCCAGGTGTTTTGGTTCTAAAATCATCTAAAATCTACAGATCTTCTCGTTAGGCTTGGTTCCGCTTGGACAGGCAGAAGGGCCGAAGACAGAGAGTTGGGTCCACTCCACTCTTTCGGAAATGGTATAATGGGATTTAACATGGGAGTTAATGGGGTTGAAAATAGGGTTTAATAATGTTTAATTTACTGGTATACCATATATATATATATATATATCAATATATGATTTTTCTGGGTGGGTCTGAAAATTGTCTTAAAAAAGCACCAACAACATCACCATTTACCCTCTGGTTATTTAACATAGCCATGGTATAGATGGCCCATTTAGTTCGATGGCTCACCTATTAAAAATGGTGGATCTTTCCATGGCAAACTGTATGGAAAATGGTTGATTTTCCCAGCTAGAAACCTCTATGAAAAAAAGTGATTTTCCATGGCAAACTGTTAAAAATAACCAGAGGGTATATCACCCGTAAATGGCCATAGAAATACTGGATTTACTCATTGAAATTCTGGTGATTTTCCATCGTTTTCACCAGGAAATTTTCCAACAAACGGCGCAGGTGCGCATCCTCAGAAATGTGGAGCACGTGCCTTGGACCCCTTGGAAGATGTGATGAATAAAAAGCGGGACCTGGAAAGTCTGGAAAGTCACCATTTTTTAGAGGTAAATTATCAGAAAAGCAATATAAAATCATCTGTAAATGTCTATAAATACATATAAATACATTTTTTTTTAAAACGATAGGTAAATCATCATGTGAATCATCTTTTTGTTGATAGATGGGCCATCTATAGCATAGCAAACTGTTAAATAACCAGAGGGTACTAGTAGGTAAGTCGGTTTTTTTCACTAGCAAAACTGTTGGATGAATGGTGGAAATCGATCTAGAGTTAAAAGGGGTAACCTAAACCAACAAAAACAACACGAAAAGTCAACAGCCAAAGCTTGATTAGTTTCTATACCCTTGAATACATATATATATATATGTATACACATATATGTATATGTATATTGAAACTGCCAATAAGGAAGTCCCCTGAATACCCTTGAATATATATATATATATGTATATGTATATGTATATTGATATTGAAACTGCCAATTAGAAAGTCCCCTGAACACCAAAACCTAAACGGCCAGAAACTGGGCAAACTGTCAAAGTTCTTTGGCATCGGGTAGCCAAAGGAACTACCGTCCGGTACTGAAGCATGGCAATTAGAACGCTTCTAATGGGAAAATCATATGTATATATATATATATATTTAAATAAAGGTTGTTCCGTTGCCACGTTTGATTGCCGGAATAAACCGCATTTTCTGATATATATATATAATCAAATCATTTGCAGATCATTTTCTTCCAACATAGGTTTTTGTCCATAATAAGTGTCCAATTGTTTACATTGCCATGATGGGGTAAACCAAAGGTTACCATGATGTACACTGTGTTGCCCCACCAGAAACCTACCTACGAAGTAAGTTAGCTAACTACAAGGTACACGCTTGATCGGCGGCCGTGGCGTTTTTTGAAAATACTGCCATGCTGGCACTTTATCTTAAATATTCTTAAATGGACCCCAAAAAAATAATGAAATCTTTGATTGCAACGTCTTCTTTCTTAAGGAATCCTGCCAACTCCTGCTAGAAGTCGAAGGCAGATACAGGTCCAAGACTTTGTCTCCAGACCCATTGGTATACCAGACCCTTGCATCTTCACACATCCATCTTTTTCAAAGTAGCATTGAGCGTATAGCATCAAGAGCGTGTAAAAACATCCTGTAGAAAGTTGAGAGCGTATTTGTTTGAAGCGGCCTTTCTGAATCAGGGTGGAATCCCCGCTTGATCGTGAGCCGCAGCCTTAGGGCATCGCGCAGGAGCCTGTGAGGCCCTTCGTCTATGTCCACACGCCCGTCAACCTTTCGGCAACCCCGGAGGACCACCTTCATTGATTGCTTTGCTAGCGTTTTCCCTTCGCGGTTTACCGCGTTGCAACCACATCCGTGCCTCGCAACGGTATGGTATGTATCTCCACATTTCCATGTAAAACTCACATGATAGCTAAACTCACCCTTTAATCGGGGATCAGGTGCTGCTGCTTATTTCGCTTCCCCTTGTTTGAAGGCTGCCCCCTTTGCGCGTTTGCAGGAACTTGCTCTCTCGATCCCAGCTCCCCGCTCCTATTGCATCCTCCTCCTCATCATCATCATCATCATCACCACACTCACCATCATCACCATCACCCTCACCCTTACCCTCACCATCCTCATCATGATCATCTTCGTCAACTAAAATAACATCATCCTCATGCTCATCAACATCCTCTTAATCATCACCATCATCAACAACATCACCATCATTAGCGTCATTATCTTTGTCTTCTTCTGCTTCATCATCATCATGATCATCAGCGTCATCCTCATCGTTATCACCATGCTCATCAGCAGCATCCTCTTTTCTTCATTTTTGGCCTCAACACCCTCCGCCTCATTATTCTCCTCCTCCTCCTCCTCATCATCATCACCACCATCATCATCACCATCCTCCTCATCATCATCATCATCATCATCATCACCATCGTCCTCATGATCTTCATTACTATCTCCCTTCTCCTCACCACCATACTGCGTCACTCTCTTCACCTTCTACTCACCATCCCTCGACCTCGTCACCGTGGTCCTCCTTCTCCTCATCCTCCTCACCCACCTCCATCTACCTACTGCCATGCTCTGTAACCCTTGTTCCCCCCAGCCTTCACGCAGGCTCCATGGATTGCCGCGCTTGCAGCTGCTGGCCACCCTCGGGATTTTGGTGTTCCTTGGCTTATAAATTTTCACCTGCTGCGACACTTTCGCCATGTCTTCCCTCTGGAGTTTCCATTGTGCATCGGCTACTTCGATTACAGGACGCAAATTGCAATGCCTGACCTCGTTTCCTCAAGTCGTTATATTGCAATCCCTATTTCAAAACCATGTTTTTCTTGCGGTTGTTTTCACCACGCGCATATCATTTCGCTAGCCTCTGTTTGATTCTGCGGCATTCCTTTGTTCAAGTGGTCGTCAGCACGAATTTCTCCCTTTTTTTGGCTTCCCATTATTTGCCTAGGTGCTTGCGCCATGCTCACCACGCAGCTGACATTTTGACAGTGGAAAAAGACAACTTGTCAGCCGCACCTGCAATGCTGCCCTTTGGGGCTTCCTCACCGGCATTTTTTCTTAAGACCCCTCCATTTGCTTACTTCCAGTTCATAATCACCTACCTTTTGCGTTCCCCCTCTTGAGTTTGAAGTGACCTTTCTGAACCAGGAGGCCGTGCACATGCCTTGGGTTGTGTCGGTGCTGCGCTGGCGGCGGGAGTTGGATCTGCTGGAGGTATCCAGCTGGGTGCCTGAGCTATTTCCAGAGGATTACAAGGTGGTTGGTTGTGCAAAAGAATATGGATGATTTTGATTGGCTTACTGTGCTTTTTCTGTTGAATATATATATATATTATATATATATATATTTATATATGGTTGTTCGGTATATTTAGTTAAAGAGAACGATTATGATTTAGCAACGGATTGAATGGAATTCGTGCTATATCTTTTCTCAAACAACTCGAGGTGGATGAATGCCCTAATGGACGATGCTGCGGGGATTTCAACTGCATGTATTTTCACAAGCTTTCGGAGCAGCGTTGCAAGAATTGGTCATCATGCGATGGAAGCCACTGCTCTGCAATCCGGGTTGATGATGTAACGCGGATTTGTATTACTTTGATCATTGACGTTGCTGATGATGTAGGGTGCTATGGTCCTGATGATATAGAGACTGTTATGTTTTTTGAAAGCAATTATTAGATCCTTTGAAGGGACATCGGTTCCGGTCATCATTAGGGCTTTGGGGCACTGCTGTTTTCTCAAGATTCTAGTGAACACGTGGGTGGTTTCACGAACAATTATTGCTGTCGGCACTGCATTGGGTGTATTACACTGTTTCAAAATGACTTCGTAAAAGGTCGAACATTTTTGGAAGTGCCACAGAAGTTTAAATATCTTTGGGTGGCAGCTATTGGTGAAGCAGGGTTACGGTGTCTGTCCATGCAGGGTAGAGTGGATGTAGGAATACATATGTGTTGCTGTTGTTGTTGTTGTTGTGGTTGTTGGTTGTTGGTTGTTGGTTGTTGGTGTTTGTGTCGGTGTTGGTGTTGGTGTTGTTGCTGTTGCTGCTGCTGCTGCTTCTGCTGCTGCTGTTTTTACCATTCAGCGGAACTGCGATGGTTTTTCATACGTGTTGGTGCTCGCGTTTTTGTATGAGGATTTGCTTGGTTTGCTTTGCGAGGGCGGTAATATGGGTATATATAGTGGCATTGGATGAAATATCGCGCAGTGTCGGAGATTGATATTGGCTTAGTCAACAGTGCTACATAGTGTGCAATGGGACTCACTATTGAGCTGGCCGTTTTTTGCCTTGTGATGGAAACTAGGGAACATCACGGATTGTGTATTTCTCAATGTATTGAAAGGGAAGGGACTTTATTCACCTCTCAATGTATATTGAACAGTACAGTAAAGTTGTGCTTTTTTTGACGGAATCAAGAAAATTATATATGGTTGTAGTAGTTTGTCATTTGGGCATATATTTTGTCAACATTCCAGTACGTATGCCAGTAATAAAATTATGGGGAATGTTTGTTTCTGTTTTATCGTAGAGACTGTCAATCACTTACCAAAATATACGTGGTTTTGTCTGAAAATGTGATATTCAAAAACCAATGCGGTTGTTATCATTGTGCTATATCGTCCTTATCGGGTGGCTGAAAATTGGGTATATTACAACTTTTAGAGAAATCCATTTGTCATATTGTCCTAAAATGATATTATATATATAATATTTCTGTTGTTCGGGTGTTTTTCGTTTTTGTTAGAGCCACAGGCTTGGCCTGAGCTGGTCTCCAGGTTACTGCTTGAACTGCAATTTTAAAATGATATATCCAAATCTTTAGGATGTTTTGAAGGGTATAGGCAGATATCCGAGTTGGAAATTATGAAGGCTTTGAGATGGTGGAGATGTGCGAGAAGAGATTGGGGTGTAGGGGGCAGAATCTTCAGTTTGGGGATAAAGCAAAGTTTTTATTGGAGAATTGTCTGTAAAATGCGAGTCCAACGGGGAACGCATCTATAAATATTTATATATGGGGAGTTTACCGTCATTCATTTGTAGTGACGTGGCCTTTAGGGCATCTTGGTAGAATCCCACGCTTCTTCGCTCATGTATGTCCACACGCCCATCAACCTTTCGGCAATCCCGGAGGACCACCAGTACCAGCACCAGGAACCAGTAGCAAAGGAGATGCGACAGGTTCCCGAAGATTTGAAATGCGACTTCATGAACTCCATGGTCAAGGCTCTCGTCAGATCCTGCATCCCAGTGGTTGGGTATGATTTCTTGTTGGAACCTAGTTGTGGTTTTGGCACGTGGTCAAACCCTGGAAATGGTATGAATTTGGCCGACCGTTTGCCATTATTATCAGTCTTGCGGGGAGGCAGTGATTAAGTAAGGTGAGGTGGTGTGAATCTAAGGGTGCCACCCCAAACATCACCACCTGA